TAGTGAACAATCGCTTTCATTCTCAAGATTTTTCTTTTTCGTCGGTAAGAATTGTTTTTCTTTCTTGGTTTTGAAAGTTTAGGAACAATACATGGGAGCATCAGTGTTCTTCCTGACTTGGACACCATAGGCACTGTACATAATTAGACACCATAGGCACCAGCCAACGGAGCATCACTAACCTTTGAAGAAGGAAAATATGGAAGCACAGTACATAATTAGACACCATAGGCACCAGCCAACGGAGCATCAGTGTTCTTCCTCTGTTGTCAAGCACATCAAAGCCCCTGTTGATATTGTAATCTCTCTCTCTTTGTTTCTTTTTTTGAAAATTTACGTGTGTTTATAAGTTTATATTTTTTGGGATTTTTTTGTTTATAATTTGCAGTTTTTTATTTATGGATTCCATACGGGTTTTTGCCTTTTCTCCTTGCATTCTGGCTTGTCTGGTATCTTCATGAGGTCTTATGCATTATTTGATTCCGAAATATGGAAGAGAAGTTAGATATGATTATTGTAATCAGGTTCTTTTTATTTTTTGGAAAATATAATTGTTTCTCGAAACTATTTTGTATTTATTATGTTTCTCGAGTTTTAGGCATCGAAGGAGGGAATTTTTTGTTCTTGATTCTGATATTAGAAATTGACTTTGATATGCTGCTGTGAAATTTGGGTCTTTAAAGGGTAAAATCCCTATTTCTTGCTGTTTCTGTTTACATGTGAAAAACTGGAAATCTTCTAAGGGATCAATGTTTGGTGATAAATGTATTTTCACATTTTATATAGCACCTGAAATTTTTTATTTCTTTTCGTTTGATTGCCAATAGAATCATAGATGTTCTAGTTAATTAAGAAATGGAATTCTGATAGTTGATACTTGTGGGAGAGATCAAACGATGATAAAATTACTAATATTTTCAATGCATATAGATGAGTAAGCACATGAAGCATACAAGGTACTGTTCGTCAAACTTTTCATTCCTCTGGATAAGAGGAAATATTCAAGATGTAGCTGTTCTGTTATTCCATGAGTATAGGTATAATAGAAGCTCAAAAAGCTTGTGAACACATTCGCTTCTGTATCTTCTGATTATTTTTGAATATGAACACTTACATATATATCTTGATTTGGAAAACTCAAAATTGGGAATGAATTCTTTATGCACTTTAAAGAGCTTAAATCAGTATTACTTCTTTGATATTTCGTGTCTTTTGTTTAAGTTTGATATCCAAGGACTTATATTTGTACCCTTTTAGGTTTGGTCAGCAGTTAGGAGATTTGATCAACCTCAGAAGTATAAACCTTTTGTTAGCAGATGCATCGTGCGGGATGATTTTAAGATTGGGAGCGTTAGAGAGGTGAATGTGAAGTCAGGACTTCCTGCCACAACGAGCACCGAGATGCTGGAACTGCTTGATGATCAAGAGCACATTCTTGGCATCAAGATTGTTGGTGGTGATCACAGGCTGAAGGTAAGGGCTTTCCTTTATTATTTCGTATGTAGTGTTCTTTTATCCCTTGAGGTAATGTATACACTGTCGAAGCAGCTCTTTTCGACCCTTATAAGTACTGGCTAAGCTCAATTTATTTGAGTTGATCAGGAAAAAGAATACTGAAAAAGTGCACCATTAGTTTCTAACTCTCATTAGCAAGTTGGTTAGTCTTCAATCTTCGAAAAGATGCAAGTTGGTCCCCTATTTTTAACTATAGTTGCACAACTTGTAAGGACGCAAACAACTCTAATCTCTGTAAATCGTTTTATGTCCATTGCATGTCCAACTTTATGAAGCTTTGCCATTTAACGTGGACTGGTATCCAGAGGGCCATGAGATTTAACAAAAAATTGGACAGCTTCTGTCATTAAGGACTGATTGTACAACTATAACAAAAGGGGCCAACTTTCTAATCAATGGAATATGTTGGGGGACCAATAGTGCAATGTTTCCAAAAATGGTACAATTTATCCTTTCTGTTGAAAAACTATGCAACTATATAGAGGTCCATTAGTCTATTACTTTTTCTCCTCAACAATAGAAAGATGAATCCTTTTGCTAAAAAAAGGAATGACAAATGGGGAATTTGCAAAAGGAGAGAACCAAGTATGAATGAACTTTTTCTATATATACATGGACGCTGGTTGTCATAATGTGAACCAGGATTTCCTCATCAGCCGTGTCAAATTCTCGTGGCTTTTAAATTTCATTACTCTAGTTGTGATGCTCTAGCCTTCTAAACTGCCAGGGTTATTTTGAGATCAATGTTTTGTAAATACTAGTTCTTTATGTAAGATTACTGTGTATGTAAGAGCATCTTCGCTTCCGTTCCATTGGAGCTCCTAAATTTGATTGTTTGTGGAATCCCAGGAGATATTTATTCTTCTCCTTTTGCTTTTGCGGAATTTAGCAATCTTTAGCCTCTCTTTCTGTTCAAGTTCCCTAACCAAATTTAATCTCTTTTATATTGATGATCTTGCAGAATTACTCTTCAGTCATTACTGTCCATCCTGAGATAATTGATGGGATGCCAGGAGCGATGGTTATCGAATCATTTGTGGTGGATGTGCCTGAAGGCAATACCCAAGACGAGACGTGCTACTTTGTGAATGCTGTAATAAACTGCAATCTCAAATCTTTGGCTGTTGTCTCAGAGAGAATGGCACTGCAAGGTCGGTTGAGGCCATTGATCAATTCTGAGTTGTCCATTTAAGATTTTAATCTATTTGGATAGATTGGTTGCACAAATTCTCTTTCTCGGCTTTTAAGCTTAACGGGTTTGCCTCCTCACCAGAAAATAGAGGGTTAGCTTATCATATCGCATTTGTAGGTTCTAGTTATGTCCGTAGGATGAGTATCATGCGATCACGTCTGTAACTAAATCTGTGAGAAAGTGTTGGTTTACTATTTTCATGTATTAAAACCTTTGGGAAACTCAATTATAATGTTACAAAGCCTTGTACATACAATGCATAATTTTTCCAAGGTTTGAGTACACAATTCCCAATGCTCTCATTACCTTGTCAATTGCTTGCTTCAAATTTATCCGAGGTTGCTACTTTCTGCATGGTTTTTATGTTTTCAACTTCATTTTTGTCCCAATTATTATGTTTTACTGTGGATGATGACCAGTGTTGACAACAAGAGCTATAACTCATAACTGATTGGTGTTATTCCTACTCTTCGACATGTCAAAGATATAGAGAATGTTCGGCATACAGTACAATAAACAAAATTTGTCCTATCTTAGTTTGCCACTATCTATTCCTTGACGATTTTGTTGCTCGTTTCCAGTCTTCACATGTTGGAAGAGAGCCCAGAATCGGAGGCCAATGTAAAGGTGGGCCGTGCAGGGTCCAAACTTGTTGGGCTGCAAGCCCCAAGTTTACACGATTGAGAAAAGAAGAAAGGGAAAGAAGCACTTCTATAATCTCTCTGGTAAAATTTCCACATAATCTATTGGTTAATTACAGAACTACTATGGTCATTTACTCTAATGCAAAAGGAGAGTCCGAACAAGATAATTGATAAATTTTGTTGCATTCTTTTCTTCGATAATGTCTAATCTTATCCAGTTGAACAAACAAAACTTGAAGTCAAATGGCTCTTAAAGTTCCATGCAGTGTATAATTAACACATACACTGCATGAGAAGAGCCTAGAAACTTCATTACATCAAATAAAGAGAAATTCTATGAATTGCAATCTACACTCTTTCATTTTATGTTCATCTTATACATCATCCAGATACAATGCGTTAATATCTCAAGCACTCTCTCTACAGGCTTGGCTATTTACATCTTTAACCAAAAGGTTTTCAGTTTTTGTCAACCTTGTGTCCCTCAGCTGGAGTTTTCACTCTGAATGTGTTGGGATCTAATTGTATTGTACACTCATTCCCTCAAATTACAGATCGACTCTACACCGACAAGCAAACATAAATCTTACATTATAAATCTCTGTATGCTTTGCTTGCTTTTTCCCGTTTCTCGACGTCATCTATCTGCTTAGTTGCTATGATTCCTACCACTTTCAGAAGAAGAAACTGCTTTGACCATAACTGGTTGCTGATGACGCAGTAACTAAAAAGGACTTGACAATACAATTAACAAGATTTTAACTTTTTTTTTCCACCCTTAATACTGTCAAGTGCTTTTGATCTTCCTTACTACTAAGTGAAAAAGCAATAGTACTACCAGAAATCATTGCATGAACACTTCCCTTCCCTGAAATGGTGAAACCGGACGCCATCTTTAAGGATGATTTGATGCTTTCTCAACAAGGACATGTATTTTGCCACTGTATGACAGTCTGAACATATTCTGGTGTTCTTGATCACCCTAATTGGTGCCTTGTTTTTCAACTTGATCAATCCATACGTAATCGCCAGTTTTTCAGTGTGAGCAAGCAGTGCCTTCTGTTTCTCCACCTCATTGATTTTCTGCTGAACACATTTAGTATTTGGTACATATCCCAAATTCTTCATCTCTGAAATTATCTGATATAATTCGAAGTAAATATCTCCTTCATCTGGATGGGGTTTCCCCACTGCAGAGAAGACATGAACTGTCTGATTAATTTGTATCTGACTCCAAACATGCCCAATTCTGACTCCCCTACCATCCATCAAGTCTTTGATTCGGTCCACATCATCCCATCTGTTTGAAGCTGCATAGATGTTCATCATCAAGATATAGTTAACGGGATTGTGTGGTTCTAGCTCAAAAAGTTTATTCGCTGATAACTCTCCAAGCTCGAGATTATAATGGATTCGACATGATCCAAGAAGAGCACCCCAGACTGTATTGTCTGGCTCTATAGGCATCGTCTCAATGAAATCCCATGCCTCGTCAAGATATCCCGCTCGTCCAAGCAGATCAACCATACACGAGTAGTGCTCGATTTTGGGGACTATTCCATAATCACTCTTCATACTGTCAAAATATTTCCAGCCTTCATTAATCAAACCAGAATGTTTGCAGCTAGAGAGAAGAGCTGTAAAAGTTATATCGTCAGGCTGGATTTTCTCGTCTTGCATTTTTTGAAAAAGTGAAATCGCCTCTATACCGTGGCCAAAAATTGCCAATCCCATTATCATGGGATTCCAAGAAGCTAATGTCTTGCTCTCGACTTTCTGAAAAACATTATAGGCATTTTTCAAACTGCCACACTTGCTATACATGTCAATGAGAGCCGTCTTTACAAATTCTTCTTCTACAAAACCAGTTTTGATACTAAAACTGTGTATTTCTCTTCCTTTCTGCAACAAAGAAAGGCCCGCACAAGCTTGAAGTAAGCTCAGAATAGTAGTCGAGTTCGGCTTGATGCTTTCATGTTGCATTTGGATACAAAACTCAAGTGCATCTTTATAGTATCCTTTTTGTGAACAACCTGATATTAGAGCTGTCCATGAAACAACATTTGGATTCAAGCCTAATGTTTTGATTTCACGAATCATTGCTAAAGCTTCCTTAATACATCCTGCCATTGAATAACCAGAAATCATGCTATTATATGTCACTATATCAGGTTTAATTCCTTCTTCCCGCATTTGATTCAAAAGGCTCACAGCTCTTTTGAGATTTCCTTTGAATAAATATCCAGAAATCAAAGAATTCCAAGCAAAAATGTTTCTATTCTTCATACCATCAAAAAAATCTTGAGCACTTGTTAAGTCACCATTCTTCACATACATGTCCAGCAAAGAAGTTCCTACATGCAAGTCAGAGTCGAGCCCGTTTCTTATAACGTAGCAATGGATTTCCTTCCCCAAATTCTGGTAACGTAATTCACTTACTGCTTGAAGAACCGTGGTTATAGACCTTGAATTTGGCTTGTAACCTGCAACTTGCATTTTTTTTAGGATGTTCAGTACCTCTCGATGAGATCCACAATAAAAATGTCCTGACAAAAGACAGTTCCAGGTTACAATGTCTGGCTTCACATTGGAAGTTTCCATTTCATGAAATAGCTCCAATGCATAATCCAGACAGGCAGCAGCAGTATAACTCGAGATGATTGAGTTCCACGAGGATAAGTTGCGATTTCCCATTAGATCAAATACAGCTCGAGCAAGTTCAAGATTATCGTTCTTCGAGTACATACTAATCAAAGAATTGCATATCAAAAAATCTGATTCAACTGAATTTCGAATAACGTACCCATGTATCTGTTTTCCCGCTTCAAGATCACCCAGTTTTCGACAAGCTTCTAGAACCTTAGCAATCACTAGGCTATTAGCCTTAAAAGATGAAAATTGCATATCGTGAAATGTTTGTAGAGCCTGCAACCATCTATCGTTCCTCAAATGTACTAAAACAGCTTCATTCCACAACAAGAAGTTGTGTTGTGATCTTTCATCAAACACCATAGAAGCACTATCTACACCTAAAAACTTCCCATATAAGTTCATCAATGCACATTTAGGATACACTTCCAAATCAAATCCCCTTTTGATCAAACAAGCATGAACTTCCCGGCCTAAACATATATCCTCTAGATTTGCACAAAGTTTTAGAGCAATTGTCAGAATTTCACTGCCAAATATCACGCCTTTATTATGCAACTCAGCAAAAACTTCAAGAATTTCATTAGGGTCTCCACCAGAGTTCCTAAAATTTGCAACAAAAGAATTCCAATACAAATAGTTTTGTGCAAAACCTACAATGAAAACCATAGTAGCAGATCGAAAATCACCAAATTCCAAGTAAGACATAATCAAAGATTGCACATTTACAACTGAATTCCATTTATTCCATACTTTTATCATCTGGGCATGGCTTTCTTTGACAGAATCAAGGGATTTATGTTCGTTAAAGTCATTATATAAAGAAAGGTTGGACAAGGAATTGAAAGATAAAGGCTGAAGAGAAGCAGAAGCTGAATTTTCAGGTGGGGTTTCGGCAACATTGAGCAGGCTAAAATTGGCTGCATAATTTTTTTGTGGATTTTTGGTGAGAGGTAGTTTAGGGAGTGAGGAATTGAAGTTGAAACCGTGCAGGGAATTTATGGCCTTCATGGATGCAAAAAAGTGTATATTGTGTAACAAATGACTGTTATGAAAGGAAGTTGGAGGATTCATAACATAATTTAAGAATCAAAAGACAAAAGATGTCTGAAATTAGAGATTTTTAGTGGATAAGGTTTGTTTATCCACTGGAGATAAGTGGGTACTGAATGGACAGTACCTGTTCTTGACTCAAAGACCCATGGATAGGAAATTAAAAAGAGAATTACAGTACCCCTGACTTTTAATTTATTGTTTCAAAAATAAAATTTTAACTTTATTCTTTCAAAAATCAAATGTTTACAGGACCTCTGCTCCACCGCAGTCCGCACATTACCCCACTGCCTCCAATTCAATTTCCCCAAAAAAAGTTCTCTCCTTCTCAGAAATCATCTCCATCGTTGCCCTGATAGAAAACTTATAAGTGATTATCGATCCAAAACATCAATAATCAAACATTACCGAATTAACCATCCATGTTGAAATCAATGAGAACATCAAAATAAAATCGGAAACATACCTTAGATCCATAAATTCTAATTCTTTGCATGATGGGGTTAGATCTT